ACCAGGGTTGTATTCTTTCACCATATTGATTCAATCTATACATTGAGTAAATAACCCAAGAAGCTGAATTATATGAAGAAAAATATGGCATCAGGATTGGAGGAAGACTCATTAACAGCCTGTGCTATGCATATACAACCTTGCTTGCTGTAAGCAAAGAGGACTTAAAATTCTTACTGATGAAGATCAAAGACCACAGCTTTGGTATAGGTTGCACCTCAATGTAAAGAAAACAAAAATTCTCACCACCGGGCCAATAAACAACATCCATATAAATGGAGAAGACTAAAGTTGTGGAAGACTTCAATTCGTTAGGATCAACCATCAACACTCATGGAAGTAGCAGTCAAGAAGTCAAATGATGTATTGCATTAGGCAAATTTGCTACACAAAACCTCTTTTAATGTATTGAAGAACAAAGATGTCAGTTTGAGGATTAAGGTCTGTCTGATCCATGCCATGGTACTTTCAGTAACCTAATATGCATGTGAAAGTTGAACAGTTAATAAGGAAGACTGTAGAAGAACTGACTCATTTGAGTTATGGTGTTGGAGGAGAATATTAAAAGTACCATGGACTACCAAAAGAACAAACAGATCTGTGTTACAAGAAGTACAGCCAGAATGCTCCAAGAATGCCAGTATGGACAGAGTTCGTCTCTCTACTTCAGATATATTATCAGGAGGGACCAGTCCCTGGAGAAGGATATCATGTTAAATGGAGGGTTGGAGGAAAAGAGGAAGACTCCCAACGAGATGGATTGGCACAGTGGCAGCAGCAATGGACTCAAACGTAGCAACAACTGTGAGGTTGGTGCACGACTGGGCAATATTTTGATAGGTTGTGTATACAGTTGTTATGAGTTGGTACCAATTCAATAGCACTTAACAAGCACAACAACTTTCTCAGAGATCCCTGCCCCATAGCAGGTCCTTTGCAGATGACCCACATCCAAAAAGGTTTATTTCAAAGGAGAGTATCTATGTGTTAGGGAGTAAAACTGAGCTCCATAGAATCTCCTTGGCTGTAATCTTTATGAGGGAGTCCTGGTGTGGTGCTGTAGGTTAATGCGCTGGACTGCAAGGTCAGTTTGAACCGCAAGGTCGGCAGTTCAAGCTCACCAGCCGCTTCTCGGGAACCCTGTACAGGGTCATTATGAGTCAGAACCGACTTGACATCACTTAGCAACAACAACAATCTTTGTGAGAGGAGATTAACAGGACATTTTTCTGCCCGTTAGTAACCTATTTGTACCACCTAGACACATAGGGTTGTCCTGAGTTTGAATTGATTCCATACAACTGGGCTTTGCATGTATGTGTTTGTTGGTGAGGATTGCTTGGCTGTCATAAATGGTCCCTGGTAGGTCTGTTAACCAAAAGGTTGGAGATTGGAGTTTACCCAGACAAGCCTCAGAAGAAAGCCCTGGCAATCCATTTCTGAAAAATCTGCCAATGAAAACACAATTCTACCGTGATGCAAATGGAATTGCCATGAGTCGGTCAACTGGATGGCAATTCGTTTTTGGTGTTTGTTTTTTGTTTGCTTTTTTGATACCTATTAGCATATTTTCAAAGTTCTTAATACTACTAGTTACATGGCTCCTTGAGCAGTGGGAAGACTCTAAGAGTGGGAAGCCACCCAATGAAAAAGGAAAGCTTGCCATTGTGGCTTCCTCTCCCTTTATTCTTGCGTCACCGGCCCACCAGTGTTCCAGTTTTCCGTTTGTGATTTCCCTGGTAGCTGAGCATGAAGCTTTATCTTCTCAATGCTCTCTGGCACTCCCATTTTCCCTTCAGAGTGGCGAGATGAATGGGCCCTGCCACTTGTCAGTTCTGCTGAGCTTAGACCTCAGGTGCACATTTATCCTCCCACAAATCCTCACAGAACCTCTGAGCTGCAAAACCTGGTGCGGAAGTGCTGAGCATGTCCCATCATTTATTGCTGTTCTCTAAGCATTTCTAAGACAATCACATAATGTCCAATACAATTCCCTTCTTACTTCTGGGCTTTCTTCCATGTACTCTCCCGGTTTTGACTGATATGTCCCCAAGAGTGGCAACAACTTCCTGATGACCAGGCCACAAAGTACTCTTTTAGCTTTTTCTGATTCCAATCATGGTTAAAATTGGGAATAGAAATACCCAAACCTCATTTGCTGGCCTCTTTAGAGTCTGTTTTATCCCAGCACCATATTTTCTTTTACAGTAAACACAGCCTGTCTGCTTCAAAGTATCTGATAATACTACACTGTGTGACACAAACAAACTCCCCACAAATGCTTGTGGGACAGGGTGCTATTACTCAGGCAAGACCTGCAGCTGTAACACCTGGAGAGTGATAAGCAGGGACATGTGCCATATGGAATCTGCCCGCAGTTGTGGAGGAAGGCTGCACTTCTATGGCAGAAAGACAATTCAATTCAATGTTTCTGTGTAAAAGTAGAACAAAGATTTGATTCTGGCTTAGAGGCAACGAGGAGTCAAATAAGCCTGGAGGTTATCTTGATTATCAATCACAAATGCCTCTGCAAATTACGATGAGCTTGACCAGAAGGGTGAACCGAGGCTGGGTTTGTTTGTAGCAGTAACTAGTTTTCTCTCCACTTGAGTCTAACAAAGGATCTGGACCCCAACCAAGGAGAAATGTTCAAAGATCACCCTGTTGGTGGCAGTTGGTGGTGGGAGGAGTCTAGGAACTGGGAAGCTAGTAGATTCTCTATGAAGCAGTGATGTGCAATTTCCTATCTTAAGGTTTTATCTTTTCGTTCTTTTCTATTACCTACAAGTACCACTGGACCAATAAACAATATTCTTATCAATGGAGAAAAGATTGAAGTTGTCAAGGACTTGATTCTTCTTGGATCAACTATTAACACTCGCGGAAGAAGCAGTCAAGAGATCAGACGACGTATTGCACTGGGCAAATCTGCTGCACAGGAACTTGTTAAAGTGTTGAAGTGCAGAGATGTCAGTTTGAGGACTAGGGTGCGCCTGACCCAGGCCATTGTGTTTTCAATAGCCTCATATGGATGCGAAAGCTGGACAGTGAATAAGGAGTATCGTAGAAGAATTGATGCCTTTGAGTTGTGGTGTTGGAGGAGAATACTGAAAGTGCCATGGACTGCCAAAAGAACCAATAGATCTGTTTTGGAAGAAGTGCAGCCAGAGTGTTCCTTGGAGACCAGGATGGCTAAGCTTCGTCTCTCATACTTTGGACATATTGTCCGGAGGAAACAATCGTTGGAGAAGGATGTCATGCTGGGTAGGGTGGAGGGTCAGAGAAAAAGAGGAAGACCCCCAACGAGATGGATCAGCCAGGTGGCATCATTGATGGACTCAAGTGTGGCAGCGGTAGTGAGGTGGCCCAGGATCGGACATTGTTTCGTTCTGCTGTGCATGGGGTCGCTATGAGTCGGTTCCGACTCGATGGCACCTGACAACAACAACAACAAGTAAAAACAGAGAACTTGGGATCATCTGGGTTATATTTAGGAATGCACCTACCACCTGTTAGTCATTTTTTACACACTTGTAACCAAAAATGTGCTAAACTGATCTTTGTCATGATTTAAAAGGTTAATGAAGGGCCTGGCCACATTGTGAGGACTGTACTGGGCAGCGTGGGGGCAGCAGCGTAGGGAGGATGGTTGAACCAGGTGACAAGCAGCAGCCAGGAGTAGGTATTACTCAAGGATAATTGCAGAAAGGAAAGGCTGGTGTGAGATCAGGCCTTCAGCCTGTGAAGAAGACCAGAGGATATGCTACTCTCTTGGTAAATGTTAGGGTGGTGACCTTTGAAGACCAGAGAACTTAGGAACATCTGGGTCATACTCAGGAGTGAAACCATCAGCTGCTTGTCAGTTTGCCGTGCTGTGGTGCCTAGTGTGCTAATATGGGGCTGGCAGATATGCCATTGGCATTTCAAATACCAGCAGGGTCACCCATGATGAATAAGTTTTTATGGTGCTTCCCAAGTAAGATGAGGAAGAAAGGCCTAGAGATCTGTTTCCTAAAATTAGCCAATGAAAGCCATAGAGGTTATAGTAGAACACTGTGCTTTGGATGTGTGATCAGAAGAACATACTGTTTGGTGAGGACAGGACTAGCAAGGGTGAGGGAGACAACAGTCTCATTGACGCACTCAAACATGCAGCAATCCAGAGGAAGGTTCAGAACTGTGAAACAATTTGCTGTTTTATACATAAGGTTGCCATGAGTTAAGAGTTGAATCTACCACATCCTTCCTTCCATCCATCCATCCATCCATCCTTCCTTCCTTCCTTCCATTCATCCATCCATCTTTCCATCCATGCATGCATCCATCCATCCATCTATCCATGCATCCTTCCATCCATCTTTCCCATCCATGCATCCATCCATCCATCCTTCCTTCCTTCCATTTATCCTTCCATCCATCCATCCTTCCTTCCTTCCATACATCCATACATCCATCCTTCCATCCATCCACCCATCCTTGCATCCATCTTTCCATCCACACATCCACCCATCCTTGCATCCATCTTTCCATCCATCCATCCACCCATCCATCAATCCATGGATGGAAACTCTTTAAAGCAAGACAGCTACATTTCTTCTTGTCATCTCCTCTGGTTCTGTTCCTATTGTTCTCAGTCATTCCTTTGACTTCCTCGATGCTTCCATACTCACTTGATATACTGAACAAAGAAGACAATCTAAACTTTTCAGTGAGGTTTATTTCTGTCCATGTCGTTTTGCCTATGATTCATGTTAAAAAAAAAAAACAGAAGAAATATTGCCAAGTCCCAATCAACTCATTCATATTCTTATGTTCATAGCATAAACTATTCAAAATCACAAGAAACACGATGTCATCTAAAGGTAATGTGCCTTTGTTTAATGTGGGTATAGCTTCGTTCCTTAACCTGAATTATTTTATCACCATTTGTTCAGATATAGATATGCTCTTAACATACCTGCTCCTGGGCACTGCTACCAGAACCAGTCAAGATAACTTACTTTCGATTGGGACTCCATTTGTTAACCAGCTGATCCTGGGCTTGGGGTTGCCATTGGCTCTGCAGATCAGGTTGCCATCCTCTCCTGGGGACAGCACCAGGTTTCTAGGGGCCATGATCCAGTACGGAGCCGCTTTATGGAGAGAAGAAATAGACAAAACAGCAACGTGAGTCAAATCAGAAACATAGCAGATGATATTGAACTATTTTAATAATAAAGTATTTTGTAAAACATTTATTAGTCTTATTTTTTTAGCATGAATAAATTTTTAAGCAATGCTTCAAATACAACTTTAGATTTTCAAAAGAATATTCAAACAGTCTCACTGACATATGCATGTTCTTTTTGAATCCTTTTGATAGAAATGCCATTAGCTCATTTTGCATTAAAATTAGTCAGATATCAAAGAGGTGACAGATTGATCAAAGGTGTAGAGACATTTATAGGAGTCCTAGTGTGGCATTGTGGGATAAGGCACTAGACCACACGATTGGTTTGAACTTCAAGGTTGGTGGTTCAAATCTGCTAGCCGCTCCTCAGAAACCTTATACAGGGTCGCTATGAGTTGGAACCAACTTGAAGGCACTGACCAATAGGAAAAATAACAATTTATAGGTATAGGTAGGGCAGTGCTAAGAAATACTAATTTAAATTCTGAGCCCTACAGGATGCATATAAAATTAAAGATTTTTAAAATTGACTTTTGAAAAGTTGCAGACAGTAATAAAATGTTCCCATATACGCTTCACACAATTTTTTTCTGATGCTGACATATTATGTAACCATGGTACCTGACACCCACTACCATCACATTGATTCTGACTCACAGACAGCCTACAAAACAGAGGGAAACTGTCCCATACTGTTTCTATAATCTTTACGGAAGTAGACTCCCACATCTTCCTGCCATGGAGCAGTTGGTAGGTTTGGACTGTGAAACCATTCACCTTTGGGTTGGCAGTCAAGTGCTTAACCACTGTGCCACCAGGATTCATTAAGCAAGGTATATCAAAATAAGAAATTAATATTGGTCTAATACTATTAACTATTTACACCCTCGGAAACCCTGTACAGGGTCGCTATGGGTCGGAACCGACTCGAAGGCACTTAACAACAACAACAACAATACTATTAACTAGATCCCAGACTGCATTTGGATTTCTCTATGGGGATGGCAGATACGCCATTGGCATTTCAAATACCAGCAGGGTCACCCATGATGACCTGTGTATTATTTACTGTATTATTTCTATCTTAGAATCCTCTCCTAGATTCCACATTGAATTTATTTACCATAGCTCCTTATTCTTCCCCGATCTGACAGGTTTTTTCCTTGTCTTCTGTGACTTTGGCACTTTTAAAGAGTTGTTGTTAAGTGCTGTGGAGTTGGTTCCAACTCAACGAGACCTTGTTTAGGGTTTCTAAGGAGCAGTGGGTGAGTTTGAAGCACCCCCTCTGTGGTTCAACCGGACCTTGCAGTCCAATACTTATCCTACAGTGCCACACCTAGCCATTTATTCTAAGGATTATCTCTCAACTCGAGTTTGTCTGACATTTTCTCATGATTAGACTGAGGTTTAGGGGAAGAATCCCACAGAGGTAATGTACTGTGCTCATCATCTCAGTTTGACTTGGTAGTGGTATTAATTTTGATCACTTGGTGTCTGCAAAGTGTCAAAGAATTTGTGAACATGTGACAAAATCACCATAGTAATTAACACGTAAATGGAAAGAAATACTTACAGACTGTATAAATACCCTGTTTCTCCTTAAAATTTCCTCCAAGTATTTTAGCTTTTATCAGTAGCTCTTGTGTTTAGCAGCTGTGGCGCTATGAGTCAAAGTCGGTTTGAACTGAAAGGTCAGTGGTTAAAGCCCGGAAACCCTTTTTAGGGTCGCTAAGGGTCAGAACCAACTCGACGTCACTTAACAACAGTGACTTTCTATTTACTTCCTTCCTTATACATTTATTAATTGGAATTCTTCTGTAAGGAAGAATAAAAATTTATTTTGTTGCTGTTGTTGACAAATACAATAAAACACAGCAATTTGACAGTTTCTACATGGACAGTTCCGTGACACTGGTGACATTTGAGTTGTGAGCATTCTCACGCTCCCTTTCTGAGTTGTTCCTCCATCATAGCATAAGCTCACTGCTCCCGAAGGTTCAAGTTGAATTGAAGATTCAACTTGAATCTTTCAAGTTGATATTCCTGCTGGATCTCATACAGATAGTTATTAAGAGTATAATGCTCAGGGCAGATCTTTCTTACTGGTTAAGCTAAACTATGGTTTGATTCTAAGAAGGCTTGAAGGAACATTTTGGTTTCAGGTTTAAAAATGACCTCAAGACAATAGTTTCTGGGGTCCATCAGCTTCTATAGCTCTAGAAGTCTGGAGTCCATGAGAATTTGAAATTCTGTTCTGCATTTTCACTCTTTTATCAGGAGTCTTCTATGGAATCAATAATATTTGGTAATTGCAGCCGAGCACCATCTAATCTGTAAGGAGGATTTGAAGGAGATAAATTTTAACCTGACTTGATTTCACTATAAGAGCAGTGAGAAGAGGTTCAAGGTACCACAATATTGATATGATGGTTATGTGTTGTAGAGTTGGTTCCGACTCATAGGGTTTCTGAGGCTGTAAATCTTTACAGGAGCAGAAAGCCTCATCTTTCTCCTGTGGAACTGCTAGTAGTTTTGAATAGCTAACCTTGATATTAGCAGCCCTACTCATTCATAACCATTAAACTACCAGAGCTCCTTACAATAATGATATAGGCTTACATTGGTTATAGATGAACTTACTCAAAAGTATACTTAATTGAAGCGATAATGCTTCTCATGAAGACAAGAGCAATGCATTTCAAACAGTGCTATACCTTTAACTGTAACAGAGATGGTATGGTGGATGACACCTAAGGCGTTTTTGGCTATGCACTGGTATTTCCCAGAGTCAGCTTCTGAAACGTGGATGATCTGCAGTGTTTTCCTGAAATTCTTATAAAATGTCCGGTTGGTGGGCAGTGTTCCATCTTCTTTTATCCAGTGAATAATAGGGGTAGGCCTGAAAGGGTAAACAAATGATGAGCTTACAAAAAAGTTCACCTGTGATTGCTTTGAAGTGTGAGTTTTCATGCATGCTTCTGATAGATTATTTAGAGATCATGAAAGGTACATAGATGCTTTTTAACAAGCATCACACTAACTTAGATAAGTCAGCAATGACTTATCTAAGTTAGTATTTTCACATAATCAGTACCACACTAATTTATGGCACGTCCTAAACTTTGAATTCAATGATGCAGTAAGAATCCTATCATCAGCTACAGTACTGAAGGGATCTAATTATCCTCTTCCAAGTTCTGAACAATGAGGGACTCGGGGAAGAATTTTAATGACTGTGCTATGTCAGTCAAAAGAATCACCATGAAATTAATGATACTGAGGTATAATTTTTCATCAACGAAGTTTAAAAAAAAGTACCGAGAAAGAGCTGATGTATATATCTGTGTCCTTGAACTTTTACGCTTTTCCACATCAAATGGAAGAACTGTTCAATTTTACCACAGGCCATATAGTGCTATAAATTATGCAATTAAATGAATAGTGATTCTCTCCTTCATTTCATTATTAGGATATTTAAATTTTTTATACTAATTAGTAAGAGTAGGTAGCTCCAACTCCTCGATTTTGCTATTTCTCACCTACCTATATTTCTTAACAAATCATGAAATATGGACATGAATAAAATGCCAGAACACAGACTTGGAGGTAAAAGAACTGTTTCAGAGACCCTGCCCTGCCCCTAAATTGCTCTCTAAACTTGGATACCTGACTGCTTTGGGCCTGTTTTCTTATCTGCCTCAATGGGGACAATAGTGATAGAATGGATTTAAGGACTTCAGAAGGTTTTCATGATGGTATTGTTGTTAAGGAGTCCTGGTGTGGCACTGTGGGTAAATATGCCAGATTGCAAAGCCATTTGAACTGCAAGATTGGTGGTTCAAGCTCATTAGCTGCTCACTGGAAACCCTAAACAGGGTTGCTATGGGTCAGAATCAACTTGATGGCACTTAACACCAACAATTGTTGTTAAGCGCCATCGAGTTGGTTCTGAGTCATAGCAACCCTGTATAGGGTTTTTGAGGAGTGGCTGGTGACTTTGAACTGCCGACCTTGAGGTTCAAACTCACCTTGTGGTCCAGTGCTTATCTACAGCGTCACACCACGACTCCAAAGCAAACTGCCACATCTTTTTCTCACAGAGCAGCTGGTGGATTTGAACCTCTGACATTTCCATTAGCAGTCTAGTGCTTAACCACTCGACCACTGGGGCACTTTGATTTTCATGATGGTAAAATAGAATTCATTCAACACAAGCATTTACAAAGTACTGAGCTATATACTCCAAGTACTGAACTTTGTGTTTGGAAGATAAAGACAAAAGATATTGTCTAGGCTCTCAGGAAGATCCTAATAACTGTCATCAGAAATGCAAGTGGGGCTGTCTGTAGTATTGTTTTTGGTTTGGTTGAATGAAAATAATTGAACATATTTATTTGATTAAATCATAGCTGCTAAAATTAAAACTTGCTGGAATATAAGAAGAGGTAGAAGATGTGTAATTGTTTTAAAAAAATAAAGATGCTGTACGTATGTGGAATCTGACAGCATAAGATGGGGGTGGGGACTCAAAAAGTTCCTGGTAAAATTCCATTATGCTTTCATTCCATTTTTCTATGAATTTTTTGAAGCTCTCTTATATTTCCTTCTAGTTAGATTTGCATCTCATGAGAGAGAGATAGGATGGAACCATCAACACCCTAGTTTACACATCACTAAAGCCATGAATTCTTTTTGTGGCCTGCTCCATGGAGTAGCTGTTAAGAATGAGAAAGATTGGCATCCTGGTATGACACTGTAGGATAAGTACTAGACTGCTAACTGCAAAGTCAGAGATTCAAACCCATCAGCCGTTCCTTGGAAACCCTATTTTGTTGTTGTTGTTGTTAAGTGCTGTAGAGTCAGTTCAGACCCATAGTGACCCTATTTAGGGTTCCCAAGGAGTAGCTAATGAGCTTGAACCTCCAACCTTGTGTTCAAACTGACTTTGCAGTCCGGTGCATTAACCCGCAGAGCCACGCCAGGACTCCTGGAAACCCTTACAGGGTAGTTATAAGTCAGAACTGACTGGACAGCACTTAATGAGTATAGTGTCTGTTGGTTTTAATAAGTCTTAATTTTACAAATTCTGAGGCATTTAAAATTAATTGGGAATATTTTGAAATTTCTAAAAACTGGCCATATTTTAGTTTTTAAGAAAGATTTCATTTGTGGAATGGGGAGTCGCCATATTTTGAGAATGAATACTGTTCTGGTTGGAATTGTGTCTTCAAAACCGAGACGCTGAAGTACTAACCTCTATACCTGTGCATAGGGACTAGTTAAAACAAAGATGCTGAAGTACTAACCTCTATATCTGTGCATAGGAACTAGTTAAAACAGAGACGCTGAAGTACTAACCTCTATACCTGTGCATAGGGACTAGTTAAAACAAAGATGCTGAAGTACTAACCTCTATACCTGTGCATAGGAACTAGGTAAAACAGAGATGCTGAAGTACTAACCTCTATACCTGTGCATGTTGTTGTTGTTGTTAAGTGCCGTCGAGTCGGGTCCGACCCATAGCGACCCTGTATAGGGTTTCCAAGGGTGTAAATCTTTACGGGAGTAGAAAGCCTCATCTTTCTCCCGCAGAGC